TTGTTCCACCTACCAGGGAAGATAGAGGGTGTGAAATGCTTTGCATTTAGTTATGACTTACACAGGTGTAAAACAAGCTTAAATCTACTGAAGTGGAGTGAGACCATTGAGAAACAAAATTCAAAACACATCCTTAGTTTTAATCTTCTTTTTAGAGCAAATTAATCCACTCCATCTGCAACTTGTACAAGGGATGGACTCTGAAGCAAAATCTTTCAATATTGGTTGTGATATTTCCCTTGGACATGTAGCACTTCCTGCTAAAGTATTCTAAATAATTCTGCCATGTAGGAGACAAGTATATAATTTGGGGGTAATCTTTTTTGTGTCATGAGTTAAGCATTGCATCATTTTTATTGTCTCTTTCAGTTAGGAATCAGATGAGTTCTCCAGGGTACTAACTCATTAGCTGCACAGCATGGAGGTTCCTTATGCTTCCCATGCCTAGTCAAAGAAAGTGTGGAATCTTGTAATGATCTGGCTCATCTCCAAGAGCTAATTTTAAAAGACTGGCAGTTGAGATGTAAAGTTTCCAGAGGTGAGCTGTGTTTGATCAGCTGTGTTTGGGCATCACAGATGCAACATCAGCTGCAATGTCAAGCATGCTGACTGAGTACATGATAAACTATTTGAACAGGATTCTCTCCTTGCAGGATGACTTTGACCTGTAAGAATATTTCATGAAAGATTCAGCACTCCATATATATAGTTTGAAAATTCAAAGGTTTGGCTACAGCCTTTTTAAAGTTTATATTTTCATACAAAAAGAGAAACTGGGCACCTGTGAAAATTTTTCCCATCTGTTTTAAAATTATAGACTTAGTCGAATCAAAATTAAGAAACAGACCTAACATTAAAAATTATCTGAAATTCAGTTGAACCTCTGATATATTGCAAAACTTTACATTTGAGTGAATGCAAAAACATATATTTTGTGGGCATTCCATAGTAGGCCATACCCCTAATCAGGGTGAAAGCGTCACCGGACTCTTCCACCCCAACATGGGAAGGGGCCTCTCCATAAGGGCAATGCTTTCCCCATGTGATGGGGAAAGCATCGCTGAGAGACAGCTGTGTGTGGGGCAACAGATGAAAAAAGTTGAGTTCTTTTCCCATAAGAGTCAACCTGTTGCTTATGGAGATCTTGTTAGCAGTTTCTTGTGTATGATATTCTCACTTACCTAATATTTCTCCAAGTAGTTTTTTTTCTTTTCATTCCAAGACTCTTATTTCTCTTCTTGTACTTAGCTTGTTCTTTCTAATTTTATCTGTGTTTCCCACTTTTTCTTTTTATAGCCAAACTGTTGGAAATTCACAACTTTTTCCTTCTTTCTACCCTTTTGTTTATCTCTCACTTACAACCTTGTCACATGGCTGCCTGTGTCACTCTGATTCATAGAGGGACATGGGTAATCTGGTGCCCCATGTCCAACATCACCTGGATCCAGGCAAGGGCAATCAGATGGGGGGAAGCATGAGTGCGTGATGCACATGGCTTCCCCATGGATTCTACAGCAACATGGGAGCTATCCAGGGTTGCCCTAGTGGCAGCATGCACTGGCTCAACCCCCCTTCACCCACAGAGTCATGCTGGCATCATCTGATAGAAGCTGGATGGCTCTGTGCATGACCTGGGCAAAAATCTGCAAATGCTACCAGTTTTGCCCTTTCTGATGACGTTGTTAAACTATACATTTGAAGACAGGCTTTATCTTTGATTTTGTGACATCGGTTAACAATACCAAGTGGGTTTTATATAATAATTGCTACTTGTTTGCAATCCACATACTTTCCTTGTGGTGAAGAAAGTAATTTGCTCTGAAGACAAACACATTGGTACATTGGAAAGGACATTTTAATCCCAGTTTTTTGTTTCAAAACATTTTGGCCAAGACTAATAGCAATAATAATAAACTATCATCACCATTGTTCTTTGAATAACTCAATAATCCTTACGATAACCTTTATTGGAACAACACTGTTTATACTGAGGTAGACACTAAATACTGGAACTGTTGATTTGTCTCAGATACTGGAATTTTCAGATATCAGTTCCTTGCAAGAGTTCTGCTAAGCTCCTTCAGGCTGGGAAGAAGGAAGAAGGGAGTTAGGTTTTCTCATTTATTTGCTTCCACATTGTAATCGGTGGAAATTCCTCCTCTTCAGAATGAGGAGAATTTAATTGTATGGTGTTGGGCTTCTGCTGTAAGACTATAGCAGCATGAACTGGAAATCCAACCCCTACATTCTGTCCATTTGTAATTTTTTTTCTGAGCTCAGGGAGAAAAGCACCACAAATGTTTCAATGTGGTAGGGGGCATGGACTCTCTGGTTTAGGAAATTAAAATCTGCTATATCCTATGTCTGCTGGAATATCCTACAAGAAACCAAAGGATTGCTCCTTTAATGCAGGTTAATTTTAATATTCCAAGATTTCAGTGGGGGCTATGTTAAGAGATAATGGATTGTCAAAGTAGGTTGGAAAAGGTGAATTTAAAGAAAAGTTTTCATAACATCTATAACCACCATTATGCCACAATTTTCATGAGCGAACGCTACCACTCGTTGAATGTTATGTCTTTTTAGTTGGGCAGGGGTACAGTTTGTCTAATTAAGACTTCAGAAAAAATTAAGGACCCCTAATTAAAATGAATACATAGTTAGTCACTTCTCATTTTAAATATCCAAAATTTGTTAATCAAAACTGGCACCCTCTGTTTTTCTGACAAGGTTGAGTAATAAATTGCTTATCAAGAGTTCCAGGAAGGTGTATTGGGTGTATATCATTAATAAAGCTCTAAACAAGATGAAGTTGTCTCCTTTGTACAAACAGAGCGGAAATTCTTCTTTGTGTTAGAATTTAGTCATCTGCACACAGTGCCATTATTCCTAATTAGAAGAGTGGGAATGCCATTCCAGCAATTTGCTTGTCTGAAACCATTTCATGGTGCCTTGTAACTATGGAAAAACAATATGCCTATAGGATTAGAGATTGTAAAGAAATGGCTGTTCTCATTTGTTTTAGTCCAGCCAAACAGCGGATGCTGACTCATAAGCATCTTAAGTATGTACATATGCTTAATAGCAAATGAGTCTTAACCAAAATGTGTTGTGACTTAAGTTCAGTTTCCTTTAATTATAACCTTACTGTTTCTTCTGATGACACACAGAAAACAACATATGTGACATTACTTCTCCATATCAGGAATTTACTTTTATTTGCTTCATGAACCCTTTCTAAGTAGAAAAACAATTAGGAAGACGACTCATAGTTTTTTAAATTTTTTAAAAAACCCTCGGTTTTTATAAAGTACAGTAAGAATAAGACTATTAGTTGATTGGTGTCATATATGCATGTATGCATGGGAATTGACAGTCTTTGTGTGTGTGTGTATAACTTATACTTTGGTGAAATTCATTTCATATTATTTGCTTCAAATGACTGGCTTGCCTCTTTCCCATCAAATAAAATTTCTTTGGATTTTACTTACAACTGAAAAAAATTAAATAGAGATGTCTTGGCAAATACCAACTGTTTTATTGGAGCAGAGTGGTGTTGTTAACGATATTACAGTTATCACAGTGTCAGTTTTTCCATTATAAACCCCATTTTCCAAATTTTACAGCTCAGTTGTAAAAAGCTGCCTCGAGCTGAAACTTGGCAAACCAAGCCTTCATACAAATCTGATTTCCCTCCCCCCTCAGGTTTCCTAGGATTAGAAAACCATTCAGTACTATAAATTATTACAATCTTGTAAAGATTGTGAAAGTTGGAATGATTAGAGCTCTTTTAAAAAACTGTAACAATATCCAGTCTGCTTCACATGATTTAACTCGGTGCCCTCTGATTTTCTTGACTTGTGGTGTGGCCACTCTACTCAGACACATAGCACTGTTCCCTTGCCAACTGAAAACTGAAAAAGTTTCGTCATGCAGCAAAGGACCAGACAGTCATGACTCTTCCAACTCAGTCTATCCACTGTTCTGTTGTCTTCTTCTGCTTTTCTTTAATAGATATGAGGGGAAATAGCAAGGTAAGCTTTTGATGTCTCGGTTGCCAGGTTATTTCATCATAATGTATCTCTCAGACCACTTCATCATATGTACTTTGGGACGATTCCAGGAAACTTTCTTGATGGAGCCCAACGAATCCTATCAAAGGACACAAGGCAATTTCTGGTGGGGCTCCATTGAGGAAGCATCCTGGCAACATCCTAGAATGCTTCCCAGAGAACACAGGAAGCTTCCGATGTTCTCATAGAGAAGAACGGTGGGAATCCAGATGGTGACGCTTTCTCCCATATGATGGGAGAAGTGGTGTAGTGGGCAATGGGTTTCCTAAATGTTGCCAAATGTTATTCTTGAGATCATGTTCGTAAAAATGTCCAAAATAGTGGTGGGAAATATAGCCACTTGCGTAGCTCCTCTACTTCCCTGTTTGCTGAAACTTCCATCACACTTCCTTCATTTCAAAGCTGGAGTACCAAGTATAAGATGCATGAGTCTATTAAAGTACAAACCATGTTTGTGAACCTAATGTAGAAGGGGCTAAGAAATTCCCAGTTTTGTGTTAGATATTGCAGTGCACATATGTGTTGGAAGAGAGGCAATATCTTCTGAAATGTCACCTACAACATCTAGTATTTGTTGGCAATCTCTCTTCCAAGTACTAACCAGGGCTGATCCTGATTAGCTTGCTAAGATCTGATAAGATCCGGTGTCTTGAGAATATTTAAGACCCTTTACTGTCTTGTCAATAACAGGCAACAACTGAACTGCAAACCACCACCAATTTTAAAGTATCAAAATCAGTTAGTTTCTTCCATTCTTCAAGCATTGTAATCTTTACAGCAGAAACAAAATAGTCAGTAATCTTGTAAACTACCTGGGATGCAATGTATAATCATACAGTTTTATAATCTGTGCTCCTGTGGGTGCTAAGTGGGTGCTAAGAAAGAACTGACTTCTCTCTTCACCTTTTAATATCTCCTTTTCTGCAGCGGCCTTTGAGTCCTTGCTTCGCTTTGCAGAGAACCATACAACTTCCCTGTTTGACACTGTCTACAGATCCATGTCGAAGGAAGCAGTAGAGCCTGTCAAGGAGCTCTTTACAGACATCTCTCTCTATCTCTTGGGTGCACAGACCAGAGTGGAAAGAGCCTTTTTCCGGTTCTTTGACAGCCTTTTCCCTTTGGTTTACAGCCGCCTAATAAACCCAGGAATCATGGATTTATCAGAAGAGTACACAGAATGCCTGCGCCTAACACGGCAAGATGTAAATCCATTTGGACGCTATTCTAAAGAAGTGGTTACAGAGTTAGCCAAGTCTCTCAGGGCGAACCGAGTATTCAGTCAAGCCCTTGGGATGGGCACTGAAGTCCTGAATGCCACTGAGCATGTGACTTTGACAAAGGAATGTACCCGAGCACTTGTGAAGATGCAGTATTGCCCTCATTGCCAGGGCCTAACATTAATAAGGCCTTGCGAAGGGTATTGTCTGAATGTAATGAGGGGCTGTTTTGCCAGTGTATCTGAATTGGATATTCCATGGAGGGAATATATTTATACCCTGGAACATCTCAGCAATGAAATGGCTGGAGCTCACGATCTGGAATTGGCACTTTTGGGTATCCGCTATTCAATCAATGAGGCCATCTTACATGCACAATTAAATGGACCACAGCTGTCTGCAACTGTAAGTATTGTGTACCTGGATTTTCTGCAAATTCCTGTTAGTACTCTTAATGTATCCAGTTGTTTATTGCTTCGTAGGCCAAACTAAATTGTTGACAGGGCTTTCTTCCCTTCCACAATGCTTGTGAGTATCAGACTATTAGTAGAAAGGTTGCTAAAAATAGCTTCTGTGATGCCATCAGATGGAGCCATGGCAGTTAAGAATTTATGAAAATGATATAATATAGTTGTGTAGTGCAGATTCAACATAGGTATTATGTGGTGCTTTGCGGTTCAGATCAGGTTCTAACTTTGGGACGTATGCCCTTTTGTGTGGCTGAGACTCTCAAAATTGCACATTATTGTGTGTGTGAAAAGTACCTAAGGTACAGCTGCTGTTGATTTCGTTCTTTAGAAGGATGAAAGAGGAGGAGATGAGAAGTAAACATTTTGTTTCTATGTGAAGGCATTATGTGGCATGCTAGATGAGCTGCCTACATATCTTTAGATTAAAGTGAATTGAGGGTGGAGAAGAGGCACAAGAAAAATAATCCCAACCTACTTCATCCCATTTTACAAACTTTGTAAGCTACTAACAAATAGTAGCTAGCTACTAAGATTAGAATTGGCAATTTGGACTAATTTAAGAGAAAGTGTAGGGGTAATTATTTGAAGTGATGTGGATATACGACATGAATTGCCCTGCTTTTTCTAAAATGTACATTCCAGTAGTATATTTAAAATTTGCACTTGTATGTTCGAATGAGAATATGCACGTTTGCCATCTCTTCTGGTGGCACATATCCAATTTTTGGCAAATTATAATAAGCAATTGTTGATAGGTGGTTTAAAAAGTGAGTTTGGTGTTTTGTTTACTTGAAACATTGTTACTGCTTCTTCCAAATAGTGCACAAAAGTGATTATCTATTCTATACTATTTAGAATTGGATTGTGAATGAAATACATACATATGCTTGTATGAAAGTGTTAAAAATATCTTCAATACTAGTCATCAACAATTCTGTGGGTATGACAGAGGAGTATTAAATTCTTAAGTAATAATACTTAATTCTTAAGTATTAACACTATGTTTTAAAAGTACAATATTTATACATAAGAAAATGGCGTAATAATATCTTTCCAAGGTGTATTTAAAAAATGATTTCAAAACCCAATAACCTGTGGCCAGGCATGTAGCCGGGGGGGGGGGGGGCTTTGGGGGCTTCAGCCCCCCCCCCCCGAAATTCTCATGGTGGTTCGCGAAAAGGCCTTACTGGTGCATTATTTAAACTGTTATGTTTATTCATATCATGATCTGATCACCATACTCAATATATCCCATATGCATGGAGGTATTGGGGTAATGATACAAAAAGTTTGCTAGGCTAGACCCTCTTTCACTCAGACTCAGCCCCCCCGAAACTCAGCCCCCCCGAAACCCCCCTGAAAAAAATTTAGCCCCCCCCCCCCTGAAACGAAATCTTGGCTATGGGCCTGCCTGTGGCCACAAAGTAAATATTATATGAGCACAGAGATTTTTTACAATATTTAAAAGTTAAAATAATTGAAATCTAGGCCAGAAAATATAGAAAAGATTAATAAACACATGCAAATGAAGGCAATGGACAACCTTATTACGTGAGCCAGGCGAAGGATCCCATTTCACTAAAGAAACAGGGGCATCGGGGCAAATCCATTTCCCTACACATCACTCCCTTATGGTGACGTTTCTACCATCACATGTGGGAAGTGTCGCCTGATCAGTAAGGATCTGTGCTGGCTCCATTGGAGCAAGCACAACACGGGAAGGGTCCCATGTTGGGAAGGAAGCATTGTACGACGCTTCCATTCCAATTGTGGATGTGGTCTCCACTGCAAGTCCATTAATGTTGTGGGATGGACAGCGTGCCCATACATCACTGGACTGGCAAGGAAGTATCAATTTAGTGGTGTCTCAATTGGTAAGATATGTTCAGGGTAATTATGCTGTAGATTTGAACCTCTTAAATAGACAGAGCAGAAAGAATAGAGTTGTCACATTTATCAAAGGACACTGGCCAAGTGAATGCTCCAAAGTTGATTTTGAGTTTCATGAAAGAACAGTAATTTGTTATTTGTTTATTTATTTATTTATTTGCTTCATTTATTTGCTTTATTTCTATACCGCATTTTTCAGCCCAAACAGGCGACTCAATGCGGTTTACATGGTACAAATTATCAAACAATATCAGTGCAATTAAAACATAACAATGCAACAAACAGGATCAACAACATCAATCCACAACAATTAACAAATCACAACAGACAAGTCAACAAAACGAAACATAACGCCTCAGTGAAATCAGATCCGTTCCCATAATCCTTGTGCCATTCCTATGTTCCATTTACCGTCTTCCTATGATTGGTTGCACTGCTTAACCAAACGCTTGTTCATAAAGCCAGGTCTTAACCATTTTCCGAAACGTCAGCAGCGAAGGTGCCTGTCTGATGTCTGCCGGTAGGGCATTCCATAGCCGAGGGGCCACCACTGAGAAGGCCCTGTCTCTCGTCCCCGCCAAGAGCGCCTGTGACGCAGGCGGGATCGAGAGCAGGGCCTCCCCAGACGATCTTAATGTTCTGGTCGGTTCATAGGTGGAGATGCGTTCGGAGAGGTAAGCAGGGCCAGAACCGTTTAGGGCTTTATAGGCTAAAGCCAGCACCTTGAATTGTGCCCGGTAGCGGATTGGCAGCCAGTGGAGCTGGCTCAACAGAGGAGTGGTATGCTCCCTGAGTGCTGCTCCTGTTAGCAACCTGGCTGCCGAGCGCTGGACCATCTGAAGCTTCCGGGCAGTCTTCAAGGGCAACCCCATGTAGAGCGCGTTGCAGTAATCAATAATTTATTATTGATTATTTCTTGGCAGGGAATGTGTTTGGCACTAATAGGATTTTATCTTTCTTTTTTTTTTAACTTGCTCATAGATTATGATTTATGTCTCTCAGGTGTGATTTGCTGCTTTGAATCATATAGCAAACTTTTTGTAGCTGGAGACACATTTCTATTTAATCATTCCTGTTAAGAGAGCCTAAGATTATATGTCTTTTCATACTGTTAATTTTTGGTTGACTTTTTTTGGGGAGAGAGGGGAGTTGCTCATATAGGGATAAGCGGATATATTTCTAGTCTGTCATTTTGCATACCTTCTAATTCCATTCAATTCCTTTGCTTCATTAATCTTTAATTTTGTAGAAAAATACATCCCAAAATACCGGGTGGGAGGCACTGTTTCTCTCCCCCAGTCCCATCATTTTCAGGAAAGTGTGCTTTTCTTCTGTGAAATTTACTTCTGAAGCAACCTGTGCACCTGGCATTATTCAACCTTCAAATAAAAGGCCCCCAGTGGGAATTTTCATTTACCTTGAGGCAGTTTACATTAACAGCCATACTGACTTTTTAGGAAATGGTTAACATTTTTTAAATCACTAGGTGAAGCCTGTGCATTAACATAAAGAATTTCTTTTTAGCTAATTGAGTACTTGGCAGTGAATAATGGAAAGTTGGCTATTTTTACTTTCTTGGGGAAGAAGGTTAAGTAAAGCATTTACTGTACTTAATAGACGTGATCACTGCACTTGCAAAAGAAAAAAGGAAGGTGCTCTAAATTGGACTACAGGAATAATCTCCAGTAACCTACAGGCCAGCCTGAATTACCTGCTTGAAATGTGTGAAAGGTTGCCATTAGGATATTAAACCATTCCTGAGCTCTGTAATGTACCAAGCAATTTCTTCAATGGTGTTGGCATCCACCCAGCTATTTGAGCTAATGTAGGCCCTCCATGATTTGCAGCATCAGCAATCACAACCATTATTTTCAGTGTCATTTGCTGGAATCTAATTGTGTGTCATACTGGAAGAAAGTACACATTCTGTGTTGTGCTAGATAGGTTGACTTTCTTGTTGACACTTGCCATCACTTTTAGGGAGTCATTTTTTCTCTTCCTCCTTAATATGTATTGTGCTAAGATTTGAAACCCTTGTAGATATTTAATATTCTTACTCATACTTGATAATAATAATATACTGGCCCTGAAACATGATATCAAAAACTCACACATGTCAATACCATCAGGTAAAGTTTATTGGTAGTAAATTGATGAAGCAAATGGCATATAGCAGAGAAAAGTGTCATAGTCATTTGCTGATTGTTTCTACCATCCCTTGACAATATGTAACATAATTGTATAGGATGTTGTTATTTCTTCTCAAAGGAAGTAGAAAGTAATTTTAGCAGTTCTTCCCACAGCAAGGAAATATTTGAAAACTGCAGTTTTTGAATACTGTTCATTATTTGGTGATTTATATTGTGCCAAGTTTGCACATGGATAAAAATCAGCTTTTTTGCCAAGTGCGTGAATTTTGCATGAAATAATTCCTGAATTGCAAACATTCACTTCAGTCCAAAATTCTTCACATCAGGGTTCTTCTATATTTGAAAAACATTTTCTACTATTTTTGCAAGTGTTTAAATATTATTTACATCCATAATACCTCAACCATGAATTCTACATTCGAGGTCAGAACTCCAGATCCTCATGAGTAGATATTAGGCTCTTGGTCTGTACCCCTCCCTTCAGCCAGGCAACAACAAGGTGGATCCCCAAGGTTATGTATAAGGAAAACCCTGTAGCAGTATACACATGCCATGCAAAACCTGTAGCCCTCCAGGTGTATTGGCCTCTAATTCCCTGAAGCCCTAGCCAGCTTGTCCAATGGTCAGGAATACTGGGTACTGAAATCCAAAACACCTGGGGGGGGGCACATGTTGTGCAGACGAGATTTAGAGGGACTATCATCAAAGGTGATGGTTCAGATGCAATGCCAGTTTGCCTGCCACATGTGATAAAGTTCTTGAAGAAGGAGAAGGAGGCACATATAGAAGCATGAGCTGAGTGGGCAACAATGAGCAAAAGAGATAAATGTGCATCAAGCAGCTGAGTCAGCTGGAAGGAGGGATCCCTCAATTCTAGAATTCTAGACCTAGAATA